ATACTCAAGTTGACGGCAACTACACTTGTTACCGTACGTGCAATAAAATATTTGCAAATAAAAAGCCAATACTTTATCAATACTTTTGTAAACATGTTAAACAAAAGTGAAACCTGGCTGCCACCATTGCTATGTTTACACAAGCAAAAGATTATTTTGCTAGGACAGAAGACAGGAGGTATGACTGATATTGATGGATGTCATACATTTTACAAAACAATTATTTGCTAATATAGAAGAACCGAGTATTGATAAGAGTAGCCCCTAGTTGTACTAAAATCCGTAAGATACCCTTTTCCTACCAGAAGGCCACCGTAGTTCTCCTAAATGCTAGGGAGGGGAGGGCTGAGCTGAGGGGTATTTAGTTGGTTGTAATAATAAATTAATCAAACATTCATGAATATGGTGACAAAAGAGAATTTCAGAGAGGATTCTCATTCTCACTGAAGACTGAGTACGTGTTATAAAAAAATAAGTTATTATTCAGAGCGGCACTTTTAAAGTCTAGTTAAGACCAAACCCAGATATGAATTATTCAATATGACAATATAGTTTTTAAATCACATATACACATCTTGAAAGAGACATCTTTTTTCACATCTGAGGTAACGATTGATGGCGAGCCCAAACTATACATAACTTCAGATACATAATAAACTGATCCAGATTGAATACCAGAGTCGGCAAAACCGTTCACGCTAAGGCAGGTGTGCCCTTCATACGGCAGCTTCATGCTGCCACCACAACAGAACGAAATCTGTTCCCACAATAATGATGTTTTCATGATTTTCTCACTTCTCAAACGATGTTTCTAATGTTATTATGACATTTTCTCATCAGCACAGGATACTAAATTACTACATTTAAAGAACATTGGAATTGTGCATCAGGCAGCTACTTCGCCATTAACGAAATGTTCCTAAATAATGTTAAAGATAGTTCTGTCAATCTGATACTAATGGAAAGGCAGAATATATGATGCCCTATCGTGTCTCCTCTCATGAAGACACTTGTTAATGACATACAGTATAAGACAGTGAGTGTTCAGGGTTGAGTGGCATGTTGGACGACTGCCACTGGTTCTGGAAGAACCAAAGATAGTCAGTTAGACTCAAAACGCTGGACGTCCATTCACACCATAATACCTAACCCCTTTTTAAAGACAAAAGAAGCAGATCTTTAAGCGATACAAAACTCAATTTGAGAGAAGTTTTGCATTGATTATTGACGGTAATTTCACTTTAGAAGTTATCAGAGAATTTCATCCTTCAAAACAAAATACCTTGAGATATGTTCAACAAGTTGGTTAGAGAAATGTAACCAAGTAGGGTTAGCAATTATGGACAACAATTTCTTCCTATACACCAATAACGTGATCAGTTTGGCTCTATTTTATTTCATATTTGTTAAAACATGTACTTTTCTAAACCTCAAATAAATATAGAAAATAATGAGATCACAGTAAACAATAAAACGGTTGATAGGATGTAATATGTATCTCTTTTCAGTGGGTCAGTGTCACACGCTTCTCCTGTGAGAATCCTTTAGGGTGTGTGGCACCATGGCACTGCCAGATGTAATGTTTCAATCTGCTATTCAATGCCAGCCTTTCTCTCCCCCGCTATTATACATGGCACCTGAGCGGTTATCACTCCATCTTTCCTTAACTGCTCTATTGTTCAGCAAATATCAAGTTCCACAGCCAGGCTCCCCTTTGTCTGGGAGGACAAGAAATGGGCAGGCAGGATGACTGTATCTGTTCGGGGAGGACAAGGAAATAGCAGGCAGCGAGGCTGTTTTCTGTAATGTGGAAACAAGGAAAGGGCAGGCTGAAAGACAGCGGGGATAGAAGACGAGCAGAGAGGGACAGACATTGTCTAGCAGGAGAGTGCAGGCAAAGGGCATGCAGACACTGTCTGAGGAGTAAGGGCAGTCGAAGGGCACTCTGTTGTATGATAGTAGCATTTCCTGTGTAATATAAAACATCAATACATAGCGCATTAAAAAAGGAAGGTCAGGAAATGTGGTGAGGCAAATGTGGGAGTGGAATAAAGAAGAGGCCAATCAAAGAGATAACACAACCAAGAGCAACGGGAGCAGTGAGACGATAAAGTGGACTATATGGCAGCAGAGTGCTCACCAGTCTCTGAGACATGAACAACATATCGATCAAACCTTTGACATCATACTATTTGGCAAATGTGTGAGTCTCAGACAAGCTTAAGACCAACGAGACACAAACTTCTAAAATTACAATTTGACTGATGACTTTATTGAAAAGAAGTAGACATGGTCACAAAATAAAAACTATATTCAAATGACTGATGTGCCTGCAGTTTCCATTGTATGTGTTTTTTTTTTACATGAGACCACACCCCACAAAATCACTCAATTGTTGCAAATTGCACAATAACAGAGATTAAGTGTTATATAAAATGATGGTCCTTCTCCCTGGCTTGCTGTTTATGTTTCATGGTCGGATCGCTGTAATTCTGGCAGGTGCAACTTCACGTGAAATACTGCTCTTTCTAAATGTATGTGTTGCTGAGACAATATATATGCATGTCTGTTTTGTTGGATGTGTATTTATGCGTGTGTATCTCTTTAAATGCAGGATCTAAAATGTGAGGTTGATTGGCATCATTGTGCCAAATCTCCCCATTCCACTATGTGTGTGTGTGTGTGTGTGTGTCTGTCTGTGTGTGTGTGTGTGTGTGTGTGTGTGTGTGTGTGTGTGTGCAGGACATGTGTTTGGTCACCAATGACCCTGGGGCTTCTACAGTAAGTATTAAAACATATTAAATGCAAAAGTCCCCGTTTCAATTGAAAGGGCATTTGTTCAACATTAATTAATAGAGAATGTAGGGCAGGTAAATAGGTCACGCCACAGGTCTCCATAACCTTTAGTGGAAAAAGCAACAACTTGACTCCCTATATATCTGTCACCATAATGATGTTACATCCCCATGGCAACACGGTGCGTCGTTCCATAGTGTCCAATTATCTCCATGGTAACAGCATGCATCTAAAAAATATTCTGGCGCCGAATGAGAAATGGTGGATGGAGTTCGCACATAAACAGGAGCGAGGGGTGCGGCACGCAGCTTTAAAGTCCAAACTAGACGTTTTGTCTCCAGTCGGTTTCCACACAATCTCTACACATCCCTTCATAATTAAATACATCAGCTTTAGGGGGTAGTGGTTGTAAATTCGGTGGCTTTTGTTACCTGTGTTGCGCTCCGACAAAAAAGACCGACCACAATAACGCAGCGATAACCTCTCCATTATCATGTAAACATTTGGCACAATAGCCTTTAATTCAACAATCGATGCGTGACGTCTGCGCATTCATCCACTTGTGCGTCGCGCAACCTGTGGATCACCTGATGGAGCAGAAAAACGAGCCTTGTTGCGCCTTGTCCTTTTCTTCTTCAGATAGCCGTTTGACATCACGCACGACCACCGATATTTGGTTTTCAATTTACTGTTACAAGGCGTGCAGTGAGAGAAAGTGAATCTTGTTTTTTTTTTGCAGCGCAACCAGGTTATAGTGATCAGTGCCAGCAGACACACCCTCATTATATATGTATAGCACTGATGAACAACAAGCAATGGCATCTCTGCAAACTGATGCGAGCACGGACCACCTCCAAGGGCGTGGAGCCTACATATTGCAAACAGCACGCATAAATTGGCGTAAATTAATGTCACTTATAAATGTGCGTGATCAATGTAAAATCGTTTTATTTACAACGGACTGTGTGCTCAAAACTAGCTAATACTAAATCAATATTATTAAAATTTGCGTTCCCTTTCAAGCCGTCTTTCGTGGCTATTATGGCGCCTCCTGACACAACAAAATAAGCACACCATCTATGACATCAACTTACCGCTTGTTTCTCCAGCAGTTGGTCAACAAACTGATATCCACCCTAAAAAATTAGACAGCTATCAGAAGGCTTTTTCCAAAATATTATCATATGCCAATATGTGCACACTGCTCACATCGACATGTCCTGGAAAAATAGATGTGATGGATAACAATGTGACTCCTGGAGGGAGTGTCTGCTTTTTCATTGCGTTGATCTCTCTCTCTCTCTCTCTCTCTCTCTCTCTCTCTCTCTCTCTCTCTCATCATATATCCCCAGCATTAAGCCAGCTCGTGATGGATTAACTCCAAACTAAGAATCTTCCTTCATCTTTATTTTTGTGCTCAGTGATTAATGCTCAGGGATCCCACACATTAGAACAGTAAACTATGTTAAGGGTCCACTTGCTTGCTTTCCTCACAAAGTGATTGTAAAGTGTCCTTTTTTATTTCAATATGGGAAACAACAGTCACGATAGAAACACCTGAGATGCGTCCCTGAGGGAAAAAAAACCCACGACTACAATCATAAATCATTTTTAAAGAGTATCATTTTCAAACGAACAAAGGAGATCACAGTAGACTGTTTCATTGGCACAGAACACATAAGAGAAGGGCCAGCCATCTTTAAAGAAGGCAAACACAAGAATACTGTATGACTGTGACACCAAGAGGCAGACGAATAAAATCAAGAATGCAAGACTGAAGTCAGTGTATTGATTGGTGTGTATCAATAATCAGGTTCAGGTAATACACATCACAGCCACCAAGCAGTTCACCTGTGTGATTTTCTGTCTCTAAGTATCTCCTCATTAATTCATTGTTTTATGTGTGAATCCATCCATGTCTCAACTTCATAGTGCAGGGTTGATTAGGGAAGGGGGATTTGGGGGAGTAGACCGCCAGCAGGAGACAAAGGGACACCATGGCTCTTGATCTCTTTCTGTAGGCACAGGAAGTGTGAAGAATGGTGAAAACCTGTAGCCTTAATCTAAATGCATCTAAGTCATTTGAATGTCAAACACACCCTCTTACATTATTCATTTAGTTCATGTGTTCTTCTTCATATTGCTATAGATCCACGGCAGAACACTTTGGACTTTGGTGTAAACGCCAGGGCTGTTTCTTCCACCACAGCCAGATCCCCAGCTGGTGATCCCGATCAGGTGCCAACGGTTCGCACCCTCACACACCAGAGGTCCACCACTGTCACCCTGTAATAGTTCATAGTTAACATAAGTTTTACTCTGAAGTTAGCTGGATGTTAAAGGCACAATGCATATTCATCTGATTACCTGTCCCTTGTAATTGACTGCTCACCTGACAGGAGTCTTTGCCTCCGTTGAGGTCCCCGGCACAGAGCATGTGCTTGGTCACGGCGCCTCGATACACACTGCGGCTGTTGCACACTCGTGTACTAATGATGTCCACAGTCACTTCCAACAGTTCCCTGGAGACAGTGCCTATATTGAAAAAAGAAAAAAAAGCTAATTAAGTTTAAAATCAAGGCTCTACAATATGTCAAAAATATTGACTGAATAAACGGGAAACTTTACATTGAGCTTACAAATTTATTATATTTATTATTATCATATCATTATTATTATTTACAAATGTATTAATCAAGCAAAGGATTGGTTGATTAATAAATATAGAAACTGCCATAGTCCACTGTCATATCTTCTCTTCTTTTGTCTCCAGCTTTTCTAATTAATCGGGTGCATTCTTATTTCCTGTGTTTTTTTACTGTCATTCTGCACCTGCCCATCAGCCATTATAAAGTTTTAGGTCCATCTATATCTCATTCACTATCAGTCTCACTATATAGAGGGCAGCCATTATTTACTCTCTGATAAATCATCCATGTTCCCTTAGGGGTCCAGACTTTTCTTCTGCCTGTACTTCCTGGGATGACAGTAGATCTGCCTGTTATTTGGCTACTGCCTGACTGCTCTTGCTTTCTGGAAAACATGCACGTGTGCTCTGATCCGGTCAAGTGTTACTCATTCTTACTCTATATGCAGCTGACCATCTCTGTTTGCCTGTTTTCATAAGGAAAGTTATATTTTTAAGAGTTACCTGAACCTTTTTCAGCTTTATTGTTTAACTCTGGCCAAATACGTAGCCGTACATATTCCAGTCGGTAAGTGGGTAAACAACAATTAGTTATCCTTAGACCCAAGACCAACCTTTTACAACATACAGTTATCTACAGGGCTTCTGTAGAATGGAACAATTATAATAGTAGAAAATTAACAAGGACATACACTTTTAAGAAATAAATGCAGATGCACCTAAAGCAGACCAAATGACTGCTACAGTGGAAGCTGATCCAATAAACCAAGCTGTAAACCTTATTATATCATTTGTTACATTTCTAGTAAACTCAGCTCCATATTCCAGTTTACCTGATCCGAACTCAGTGGTGCCAAAACCTGAGGTCCAGCACCTCCTTCCATTGTCAACTTGCTCATTAAAAGCTGGCAGACAAGCCGGATGGACATTAGCTGGAAAACACAAAAATACATGTTTAACTTTAGCAAACACAGCAGCAACCTTGTGTTCTTAAAAGGATAGTACTGTAAACAGATGTACAAACACACCACCACACAAACACACAGCGCTGGGCAAATCAGATTAACAGTTTTTGCCACAGACTGTGGACTCAGTACTTTAAAAGCTAAGACCGAAGAGCAAAAGAAAAACATTTCAAAAGCAGTCACTCTGTATTGTTTTTTCCAGATGTTGCATTTCCTGACTCTTCTCTTGCTGCATCTGATTTAGACCATGACAGCTAACCAGGTGCTGACTTTAAAACCGAATTCTGACCGCAGCCTCAGCTATGAAGGAAGGATGAACATCAACATTGTTTTCATAAAGTGAAGATGTGACTAACCATCGAAACTAACTGGAGATGTAAGTTTAAGCAGAGCGACGTCCTGGTCATTAGTTTTGCTGTTGTAGTTCTCATTGAGTATGATCCTCTCAACCAAAAAGGGTTCAGGTAGTAGATCCAGAGACACAGCTCCACCATACACTTTCCAGTTTCTCTCCAAGAGAGCTAAAGAGTTGCTGCTGTAATAAAGAAAGATACTGTTCAATGGAAACCAATAGGCTCATATCGCCATGGAAATGGTGCTTATATTTTCAGCAGCGAAGACTCGAAATCTTTGCATTGTAAATTATAAAATGTATCAGTTCAACAATATGCAGTTTTGAGCTTACAATGTACAGCATGGATACTGAGACACAAATAAACACACATAAATCCATGGATTAAGTTGTAGGAAATATGCCAAGACAGATTTTCTCATGCAGTCAGTCACCTTGGGAAGCAGTGGGCAGCGGTCAGCACAAAGTCAGGAGAGATCAAGACTCCTCCGCAGGTGTGGGATCCTCTAAAGTGCAGCGACATCTGCCAAGGCCACTGACCCACCTTTGCTACGGTGCCCCCAATAATCCGGGATGTCGACTCCTGCCGACCGCAATCTGGGAACAGAAGACAATGTTAGATACTGTACAATACCGAAGAAACAGCTAAAACATCCTAAAATAAGGTTGAGAGATAATTCAATATTAATGTTTAGTGAGTTTCAGTGAAATGGTGGTGATTGAATGATCATTGTTACAACTTTACGAAACAAAGGGGGCTACTATTCTTTTGTTTAGACGTGACACGTTTTAAAAGATCTAAAGCACAACACAAAGCACTGATGGTTAGGTAATGATTGAAAGGATATGTTGTGTTGCGGTGCCAGGACTATACCACATACTAGCTTGCATGCTACACTCCATATTTGCCATATTTTTGGATATGGTATCTCAGTCTTGGTTTTGTCATTGTTGATATTTAACCTTGTCACCCCAACTCCGAGGTCTCTGAGTTTAGATTTAAGATTCAAAGAAGTCAAGTAATTTCATAATTTTTCTAAATGATCAAAAACATACTACAGTAATGTCAAGTGATATTGATCAAGTACTGATTTCTTTAAATAGTTGGATTTGCAGTCATAGTTATACTGTGTGTGTAAGACAGGGACAGAGGAAGAGAGAGCGACTGTGTGTGACATATGGCTTTAGGAACAGATGGACGCTCCTTACCCACACACTGCAGGGAGACAGTCTCCTGGTCTGGACAGGATTGGCTACGTAATGAGATAAACATGTCAGTTATCATAAGTACATGCAGTAATCGAATGTGCACCTTTCTGCTGTTTTCTGTAGTATTAAAAATAAATAAAAAGCAGATAATTAGCCTGTAGGGGTAATATGTTTTTAACTGCTTCCACAAACAACAAAGATATTGGAATGATCATAAGCGGGACAAGGACTAGGACTGCCCCCTTTTGGTCGATTAATCGACTAATCGGTCGTTTTGGTCTTAGTCGACTATGATTTCTTTTGTCGATTAGTCCTTCTTTGTGCATTTTCACACTGAAGACTTATCATCTCTGGCAAACACATGATATAAAGTTGTGCTTTTCTGTCATTTTTTGTGGAGAAACTCAGTTTTACAGATCTGTCAAAAAAGCACGGGTGTAATAATTGTTTTGGTCAAGGACAGCCCAAGAAAGGACTAGATTGTTTACCTGACGTTAACCAGACCCTGGATATGGGAAGATGAGCTGTCAGTCAATGTTAAACCAATGGAGTCCTGGGATGTAACTGCTTTGCTGACATAGGACCTGGAGATAAAGGGAAACGTAGTTCAGAAAGCTAAACAGATAAACTTGCACATACAGAGATCATTTTGTTGAAACAATGCGTGATTGAGTCTGGAAACTCATTCTGCTTCTGTCACACTGAGACACCCCAGGGAGACCCTGTGGAGAATCAATTCAACCATAAACACAGCAGCAGGTGAGGAGAAATGAGATGGATCTCAGTGGGTAAATTACAGGTTGGAGACAGAAGCCCACATGTTCGCTATTTGCTGATGAATTTGGGTCCGGCAAAAAGACTGGATAAATCCCTCCTTTATTGAAGCCTGAGCTAGCTCCGAATGATGATGGGGAATGGTTATAAATATTTAGATGTTGGAAATCTGCTGCTGTTTTACATGTTGTTTAGCACACTTCCAGTTATGTTTGACAAAATAACCCTATAATTGAGTTATGAGTGATCATTCTTTACTCTCTAAATCCCAGTTGAGTGCAGGTCAGGTCGGCGTATCTCTTGTTCCAGTTTTTGAAGCACACTGGTTGGAAGCGGCCATCTTGTGATGTCCTGACCTGCAGACTCCTGTCCTTGCCAAACCTCACTGGAGGAAAAAAAAAGAAAGAGGACAACTCAACTCAACTCTTCACTGGGTTATGCACAATGCAGCAGTAATGTAGAGTCTTTGGCCTGTGTGCTGCTGCTGTTGCAACTATAAACGATTATAGTAAAAGCAAAAATCAAAAGTGAAAGAAATTAGCTTAGCATACTAAATACACAAGCCTACCATAGAATACTATCCCCATCACCAAACCTATGTATGAGATCCCAACTCATACCTCTTCATCTGTAAGTCTGGTTCTGGTAAGGTCTACGGGTGTGTGTGTGTGTGTGTGTGTGTGTGTGTGTGTGTACAGGTGCCTACTCACCACAGTTTGTTTCATCACTGCCCAGTTGGCAGTCACTTATTCCATCACATAGGACAGTGTTGTTGGGGCAGGTGTCAGAGTTTGGCAAAGACAGATATTCATCTTTCTCATCACTAGGCTCTGTGTTGAGGATTGCTGCTGTTGCCAACCGGGTGCCATAACGAACTGTCGTTGGGGTAGTAATGAGTGTGGATGAGGAGAGGTAGAGTGTGCCTTTATTGTTATAATTAACGAAAACTATGTTGACATAAAATAGGAACAGTAAAATGCAACTTAAATGAATACATTACCTCCGTCTCTCTCACTTAATGAATATCCGTTCAATCTTTATAACTACTTTACCACGGTAATCAAATTTGTATAACAATTTTACAATTCAATAGACAACCAATATTTTATAAATGCCAACAAAGATCTATGGAAATGGGGGAAAAACAGGCTTACTTAATAAAAGGCTAACTGTATAAAACGGTTATATGTTTAGGGATATTAAAGGAGGGTACTGCAAACATATTTTTAAGAAGCTGCCAACCCAATATTGTTCTTTTTAATGTCTAAATAAAGCATTATATACCAGCAATAAAGTCATTTTGTTCCATCATACAATCCCTTTTTAAAGTATGCATTTTATCAAAAACAAAACCACAAAATGCAAACAAATCTATCGTTATCAAAACTACAAGGGCACAGGAAATATTGTGAATAATAATATTATTATTCACAATAATATTGGGTAATATTGCAGTTGCAATATGAAGGAATTAGATTAGCAAATGAATGTTAATGACAATGTCCAGTGATCTGTAAGGATAAGCACAGTATACCTCCAAGCCAGATGGCCAGTGCCAGCAGCCCGAGCACCAGTAAAGTTCCCCCTGACCCTCCGTAACACTGGGCATTACCATCGCAGTATCTCCTCCTCTTTCTGCTGGGGGCTGGAAACAGACAATACACAAACAAATACACAAACACACATTAATAATCCTTGGGACAACTCAGTCTCCGTTTGTTTTGCTCCTACACCTACATCCATTGTATTATGAGGGAAATGAGCTGTGAATATCACTCACGTATGCTTGACTGTTGGACTTGGGTAACAACCACAGGTGGTCCATACTGGGGGATGTATTGTGGATAGGCGGAGGGTGTCAGGCCTGGACCCACGCCATACACCACCTCCTCATAGGACCTGAGGGGGGGCTGGGTGTGCACGGCAACAGAATAGGAAGGAGGGGGATCGTTCTGTGAGGAAAAACAGAAAAGGCGGAGGGAAAGTAAATAACTAGCGAGGGGTTAAATAAATCCCTTATTAAAAACACACAATGTGATGTGGAGTCTTTGTCCATTGTGTCATCTATTGCCCTTGGGAACAAGACACAATGCTATATTTAGGTATAATGATTTAGTTAGACGGACAATAAAGACAAAAGAAGCAAATCATTTGCATGTTTTTGTTTCCCAGGACTGAGCATAGGCTTTTGTCCTCCATGCAATCCTAACACTATTATCAAGCATGTGTTTAAATCCACACCTAGGTAACAACCTTACCCAAAAAGACACATGTGATGTATTCCGGCAACAGTGTCTGAAAGATCAGGTTCATTTCCTCATTTTTCTGTTCATGCTATCTCCTCTGCCCTTTTTGATTCACAGCTCCTAGTAGCAATATCAAGAACTCGAGACAAAGAATGTAATCAGTACTTGAGCTCACTGTAAATGACTGATGATAAACAGGTGAGTCAGACTCTCTCCCTGGTTAATAAACAATGGCCTCTAAGACTACCAATGGTATCTGTGTATCTCTGTCATTCTGCCATGAATATGAAAGAATAGGGTCCAGAAGAGTCAGTGATTAGGTAAAGAGGAACTAGCTTTTTTAGGTTACAAATTTGTTCTAAGAAATAGTTTGACATTTTAGGAAATGCACTTATTTATTTTCTTGCCAAGAGTTACATGAGAAGGTTGATACCACTCTTGTGTCTTTGTGCAAACTATGTCGCTATAGGGCAAGCAGCTGGTTAGCTTAGCATTAACTGCACACCGCCACTTCTAAAGCTCACTACTTTATCTGGACATAAACAACAGTGTTACTGGGGAATATTGTATGCAATACATTTTGGCCAGGCACAGTAAGTTTGTGTCTGAGTTCAAACAACGAAATCTGACGTGTTAATTAGTTAGCTTTAGAGATGCTGGATTTGGTTACGATACCAGTCTTTGTGAGCTAAGCTAACCGGCTGCTGCTCTAGCTATTCGTTTAACGTACAAACGTGACAGAGGTTTTGTTATTTCATCTTACTCTTGGCAAAAAAGCAAATAAGCATATATCCCAAATGTCAAACTAATTCTTTAATTTAAATTTAAATTGAGAAAATACATTTAACTCTACACTTGCTATACGCACTTATTATAGCGCTATGCTGTGTATGTGGAATGCAACTTTGGAATGTTAGGAATGGAAAATATTTTATGACTAAACTTGTTTGTCCACATTGTGGCCTGGACACCCAAGCATTTATGGAAAGTTACAATACAAGGAAGTTCATGGCGAGTCATAGGAGGAAAAACTTTTTTGTAATTAACATTTGTTGCTCGACATCATAACAGAGGTTTGACATAATCAGTGTCTGTTACTGTGTTTTAAAACAGTCACATTAGTCTTGATTTGGGCAGTCTTGAGCCTTAACCTCACCGCTAGTGCAGGGAAAGCCAAGATTTAGTTTCCCAAAACCAATGAGGATGGCCAATGAGCTGCTGTGACCCTTCTTCATTTGTCATCATCTTCTTAAAAAATGTTTGCAAAAAGGAAGGGATTAACCTATTGAGGTGACACTGGCTATGGATGGACTCGCTACAAAAGGTGCTCCATAAGACATTTCTACTGCACCGCTGATCAAGTTTCAAAAATACACCTACTGGCAGCACACCCCCCACTTAATTGAAAATGGGTGAGCTGAAATAGGTGGAGGAGCAGGTTTATCATATTTCAAGGCAGAGTACTGTACTTGGATCATCTTGCATAGTTTGCCTATTGCCCATTATCATGGAGAAAGACTGGAAAAAACATTAAAAGATAAGAGGTTTCACATTTGAAAGGTCAGTATTTTACTTAGACAATAACTATGAAAATATAAAGTTACAAAGATACCCGACTTGAAACTGGAAACTAAAGTGTCCCTTCATGTTTGTCTGTAGGGTCGAAAAGAAATCAAGGCTGATACAAGTCAGATCAGTGTATTTCTTAAGAGCATTGAGTGAACTGAGCTTGAATGCAACCAAAACAAAGCTAGATATTCAATGAAAATCCCATTATCTCCAAATATAGATACGAATTTTGGATTTTTTTAGATAAGCTAAAAGACTAAGTTTTCCAGAATAGGTGGACACAAATGTTATAATTCTTAAACAAATTAACCAATATGAACACCAATTGGTTTATTAGATCCAATAGGATTAATTGGATTAAAGATGCATTGTCAAAAATGTGAAAATAAAATAAAAAGTCTTGTAGTCTAAAGAGTTTCAAGCAAGTGTAAAGGTGTTGCCCTATAGAAACTTAAGAAAGAACCCAGCTGGTTTAGATGAAAGCTATATTCAAAATATCTTCCTCCCTGCTGCCTGGCAGGTAAATTTAAACAAATAAAACCTCTGAGGTATGCCTATAACCACTGCAATGAACAGCACAAGTTTGCAGACAAATAAATACACTGAAACTCAAAAAGAGCACACAGAGAGGGAGGTAAATAGACCAAGAGCCACCATTCAGAGTCTGCATGATAGGTGAGTATAGATCAAGCAGGAAGTTTGACTATTGATTTGAGGAAAGTTGAAGTCAGAGGAGAGGACAAGAGACACACTTTAGCATGAAGAGGGAGTTTTGTGTTATAAGAGAAAGACAAAAGAAGAACCTACCGGGTCATTCTTTGCCATCAGACTCAGGTCAGCAAAGAGTGGCGAGTGGAGGTGAGTGCAGGTGGGTGTAGCTTTTTCACACCTAGACGTTTACTCAGTCACCAAACAGTGATTACAGCATGGTGGTTCCACACGGTTACTCTCCCTTTTATTTTCTTCTCCTCTTCTTTCTACTCTACTGACCTTCATCCAAGCAACAACAGGTAGGTCTGCCTTCCCTGCCTAAGACCTCCCACTTCCAGCAACTATCATTCTCTCAGACCTTCATTTTTCTGCTCACAGAGATGGGCGTGCCCAGTACACCAGTTTCCCACCTGCCAGACGGGTTTTGTGCAAGACAGAGACTGTCAAAGCTTGTTTCACAGTGTCGAGCTCCAAGGTGGCTCAAATGACACCAGCTGAGCTGTCAGGTCCCTGAACCAAAATATCTTCTTCGCCACAGAGAGAGAACTTGACTTGTTTTCCCATAAAATCCAATTCTACATTATTTCAGTTTAATGCAGTATGTGTTATCTGTAAATTTCACAGTATGCTCATAGGCCGTACAAGGAAATGCTGCAGAAAAGAAAAGCTGTGTCATTGAATCCAGGAAATAAAGATAATGATCAATGTGTGTTCACATTTTTAAATGTGTCACTCATTTGTGGCCCTTTTTGAGGGTTTTTATCAGGATCAGAATCAGAATCAGCTTTATTTGACTCCGCTTTACACATTGCTCTCAACATACATGGAATATACAAATGAACAAGGACATTAAAGACAACAAAGTAGAACAGAGAAACTAAGCATAAACCTTTAACATATAACTACTATTAGTACATTTAACTACTATTAGCTACTACTACATTTAAATACTATTAGCTTTCAATCTGTGAATTGCACACTTACACACATCTTGGGCGTTCACACTGCAATTCCTTTGCGCAACCAGATCTCCGATGCTGCTTTTGGAGCGTTCCTCTGATTTCTTAATTTTCCCTCCGTGCTCATTTTTAGATTTACTTCCTGAATGATCACTACCTTCGTCTCTCAGCCCCTAATGCCTCTCTAGTTTTGTATATTCACTAGTCACATAGTCACTTGAGAGTCTACATCTCTAGCCCTTTGAAAGCTTGCCAACGCTTACAGTAGCTTCTCAGTGTGTGCTCTTCCTGCATCTTTCATCCTGACACAATATATTGGACTTATCAGGAACAATTTAGCTGGTGGGTGCTTTGTGATAAGGGGGACCTGTGCCTCTATTGACTTGATGCTGAGCGCCTGATTTTTGTGAATATACAACATACGAAACAGCACATAATTATGAATACAGGGTATTGAAGTGGCATCGTGGTCTAAATGGTCTAAACGGTTTAGACCATTTAGACCACTTTGCCACTTTAGACTAAACCACACAACCACACAACCACAATGTCCCAGATTTCAACCTTTGTAGCACATCATCCTCTAATCTCCCTCTCCACTTTGTCACAACTCTGTGCTATAACACACATTAAAGTAATATCTCCCCAAAATATATAACCATGACTGTTAAGCATTTAAGCATGTTAAGTAATTCATAATATCAGAATACTGATATACAGAACTGGATTTCAAGACCTTTAAAGTTCAGGCAAACTGTCAGTCTTTGTGTGGGTCTATCTAAATATGATCATTCTTATGAGAAGCACCACAAGATTCAATGTGAAGATGTGTGTACCTTGTAACACAACTAGAAGTTGATATCATATACAGTCTTCCTATCTGCATGTATCCACTCCTCACGTATCAAGTGAAAACAAAGTGAAAAAACTCCCCCTTGTGAACACCAGCAGATGATCTCTGACATTTAAATGGCGTCCCACAGTTCAGTTTCACTCAGTAGGTCTCTGTCCGTCTGCCAGACAGAAACCAGAAGATGACGCCAGCAATATAGATTCATGAGTGTGTTTGCATTTACCAGGAACTAAAACTTGAAGAGTCTCATGTGACAGGGAGGTGAGAAACAGAGAGGGGAACTGTGTGGACAGTTTTGGTTATAATTAAGAGAAACGAGATTTCTCAGAAATAAGGTATAAAAATCCAAGTATTAGAGTATAAGCGTTTAAACAAATATATATAAGTATATCAAATTATCAACTAATGATTGACTTCTCCTCCTTGAGCGGCTGTATTATATGTACAGTATGCCAACAACTTTAAATGCAGTTTCAATGGGACTGATTAAGGAAATTAGGTGAGCATTCAAACATCAAGAGTTTGGTCTTTTCATGATGAGACAAATGTCTCGGGAGGATGTAAACATTGTATTTAGTTGCCAAACACAGTCATGTGAGAGACCTGGCTAAAGACTGGAACTGTTGTAATGTAAACAGAAGAGACAAGTGAGACAGTTGATCCAACTGTAAACCTCCCTTTAGTTTTAGTGCAATTGCATTAGAAATCCATCTTGTAGTTTCAGATTTATTATAGAGCAGTATCTAGAGGACTCAGGAGGGGGAAAAAAGTACGTGCACATTTTAGGCCTTGGTTGAAGCTTTGCACATATTAACATTCATTACATGAAAGTGCATTTCTCAGACAATGGTCCTTGGATAAATGATTGTGGTGACCAGTGGGATGACATTTATGAGTAATTTGCGAAACATCATACTTATCCACCCACAATAACCTTTATATCATTCATTTCCTTTCTAAAAAGTCTAACAAAATGTGAAACTGATCTGTTTCAAAGTAAGTGAGTTTTAAAGATAAAGTTCCAAGGTCACTGTGGTTTGTGAATACCATAGATTGAGATACAGATATCCCACCCAAGTTTTTAAAAAGGTCGTACCTGCCTCTCTTTATGTCACAAATCAAGTAATGGTTTACCTGTTTTGCTTTTTTTTCATGTTTGTTTTGCATGTGTTACGTATGGTTCTATGTCCTGCTGTGAATGTTTGTGCTTGGGTGTGTGTGTGTGTGTGTGTGTGTGTGTGCATGTGTGTGTACTCTGTGTCTTTTGAGAACTAGGTGCAGCTCCCCAACGAGTGATTGAGGGCACCTGGATGAAGACGTGGGTTACCTATATAAGTGCCTCCTTGCTCCGCTCTCACTCTCTCTCTCATCTGCCTGGCACCAGACCCTGGTCTGCAGTTGGATTTGCACCTGACAGTTTGTTTGTGTCCTGTAAATAAACTGACAGCGGTGGTTGTTGAATCTAACTTGATGTGGTGTCAGTCCTTATGTTGCGACTCCTGAGCCGGTCGTAACACATGTCAAACATATTCATCCAAATTACCCCAGAATAAATGTGTATTTTTACTGTCCTTCTCTCAGCCAGCTCTACCATTGCTCTTTGCGAAAACCACCTGCAATGCAGCCAACCACAACTGAGGTTTTACAGACACAGACTATCACAGGAAAAGATCAAAATACATGTGCTGTACTCAAAAAGGCACGCACACACAAACTAAACAGAAGCAAATAAAGACAATATGTGTCTGCGGATTGTATGTTTTTCATTATGGAAACTAAAAAGTTTAAAAAAATTATGTTTAAAGCAACAGAATACCCCTCTAATCAAACTTCTGCCTGCAATCACAAAAAGCGAAAGGGGAATCCCTAAACACTTCGCTTTTCTTGTCTCTGAGCCACGTAGAGCCGAGCAGTTCACTGTACACCATTAACCTACTGAGAGTGGGGAAAGAGGAAAAGAAAAAGCAAAAGAGGAAGGTAAACGTCTGGTGGAAGAGAAGGGAGGGATGAAACTAGCAGCAGCATCACTGAGCCGTCACAACAGGAAGTGCATCATGCGAGAGGGAGGGGGTTGAGCAAGAGTGGAAGATATTTTGGGAGATCTATGTAAAAAATTAGGCAAAAACAATCTGCCTCTTGTTATTTCTTCCACAGATGAACAGACACCACATCAGTCATTCACCGATGATTGGAATAAGGGCTTCTTTGGTGGCTACTGCGTGGATTATAACTGAATGACAATACCTCTCCAGATACCAGACATGGATATGAGCAATAAGACACCGCTTCTTGTCTTCCTGATTGTCTACATAAACTGTGTGTCAGGTAATTAACACTTTTTATTACACAATATCTTCAGTCTTATCTTTTTATTTATCCTGTTTTGTATTCAAATTATTTTTGCTGTGGTTTTCCTTCACTTTTGTGAATTTCACATGAATTTCACATGACTGGAATTGTGACTGTCTTGTGAAATACCGTACGTCAAATACAGACATTCTGGAAAATGTTTAGTTGTTACAATGAAATTTATTTTCTCAGCCTATGTTTACAATATGGTTTCCATCATGAAGGCATCAGGTGGAAAAAAAGAGAATTACATGGGAAGTTTATCACAAAATGTCCTGTTCCACGGTGAATGAAGCACACAGAGTGGTAATGGGTGAACCTCTGTTCACTGTACGAAAGCACACAGTGTCATTATCATCAGAGATCCCATAAATGATTTTCAAGATCGCAGCGTGTTTTCGTCAGCCAGACTTCCTTTTCTTCTTTCAACCACATCCTTCAATCTAAAGAAAACATATCAGCATTTACTTAGCAAGGTTTATGATTTTACAGTCTGGAATCAAAAAGTATAAATGTCTCCTCTTCCGACCATATGCTATAAAGCTGTTTTTTATTTAAAGAAATGTAAATGATTGTGTAATACTTTGCATATTCATGATAATTCCCCCATTTACTATTGCAGGACTGGACGTCCCTCAGCCTGACCAACTGGTTGTGAATATTTTGGATGGGGAGGTAATAGTACTTTGGAGACACCCTGCGAACGCCCCATCAAACTCCCGGTACAATGTAGAAATGGCAAAGTATGTTTGACTTTTACTTCAGAGTTACAGTGTCAACTTTGTTTACAAATTTTCTATTATTTTGCAATTCAAATTTCACAGCATTCTGTACTTTTTCCTTCACACCGCTTACATTGTTATTTGTGCTCATTGATTCATCTGATTTGCCAGGGAGAATCAACTTTTATTGAAATCATCTTTTTATGATATTCAGCTCCTTCCAGTTTGTGAATGGTGTTTTCTGTCCACAGGTACACTGATGAATGGGCCGTGGTGGCCAGCTGCACCGGGATCAAGAGTACCAACTGTGACCTTAGCAGCCTTGTAGATGACTATCGCATTGCATACAAAGTCAGAGTTCAGTTGGTTGCAGGAGATGACGTGTCTGTGTGGAAACAGAAGAAATTTCTCCCAAATACAAGTACGAATAGTTTGGTAGGACCTCAGTGTACCATGGTTAATACATTGTATTTTTGCTATAGGTTTGCATTCTTACCTCTCTCTCTGGTCCTATAGGCGAGTTGCAGCCTCCGTCCTTCACCTTGTGGGCAACTTCCAGCACTCTGACAGTTTATGTTCACCAAAAAAACATTCTGAAAAAAATATTTCCTTATGGGCTCACCTACACCATATACCTGGAGGAGAGAGGACAGCATAAAAAGGTATAATATGTGAAATAATGTAAGGCAGCACCCACCCTTTCCACCAACCCATCAGAAAAATTTAAAACACAAGTTTGGACTAATAGAAACACTTAAATTGATCGTCTGGACTGTTCAAACACAGACCTACACAACAGAAGCATCTAATTTTATCATGTTTTTTTTTATTATGTAAATTGTTTGTTAGTAAATCAATGCTATACGTGGCTACATTTTCAATTATGTTCAGTTGAGAAATAGATAAAAAGTCCAACTCTGCAATTTTCTGTAATTTAATAAACCTAATTGGGCCTTGGTGGTGAATTTTACAATATTTAATGGGATGTAACATCTGAACCTTACTCATCTCAGGCTATATTGTAAAATGTGGTCTACAATGCCTTGATCTGCGTGGTAATTAGATTTTTACCCTACAGAACACAACAGCATACCTGAAAGATGACGTGGGGGAGGATCAGAGGACTAAGTCTTTCAGTTCTCTGCGCTGGGGGCGAGAGTACTGTGTCAGCATCAAAGTAGAGGGCATTGGAGCTCTGTCCACCAGCAGGATGTCCCCTAAACAGTGTCTGCTGCTACCAGAGCAAGGTAATAAAACATTGTAATGATGATGCACAGCTAAGAGACAGGAGCTTCGAACAGCAATCAGATTGTTACAATGTGTGTTAGTTTAGTGGATTTATTTAAGTAATACCAAAAAAAAACATAATACATTAGAGGATTAAAAAATAATTTAGCTTATGAGATAAAAACAAACAAAAAGCCTTTCAAAGACATCTCACAGTGAAAAAAATAGAACAATGTCAACTAAAATAAATCTAACAATAACATATATGAGACACATTCATATGTCAATCGCTCCATCCGGCAGGGCACAAAACTACTAAGTATTATTACGTACTTTTTTCCCCATTTTCAATCTTTGTGGCAGCTTCTTGTTTGCTCTTGGCAAGAGTAAAATAAGTAGATTTCCCAAAATGTCACTAATCCATTGGCCAAAATTTTAAATCTGTTAGAAAGAAAAAAAAATGTGCAAGATGATACAAGTTTAAATCTACAGGTTTAACAGATAACACCCTAGCTCCTATTAAAGCTTTTCCTGTTTTTGTTCCCTCCAGAATGGTACATGATTGCTGTGTCATCCTTAACTATTCTGGGTGTGCTGGCCAGTTTTGCTATCATGGCAAGCATTCTCTTGTGTTACCTGAGAAGTCCAAAGAAAACACCTGCTGTATTGGTAAGTACATTCAAAAACTGAGTATTGGGACAAATTACAGAAAAACAAACTTGTACAGTCAACTACGTGGAAAACAGAACCAAAAGTTGGTTGTTTTACTTGCATCACATTCTTGATATTAGCCTTGCTGAGATGGTTCAGTTGGTCATAACTACCCTAAACATGATTTTGTTAAACAATGAATAAAACAACAATCTCTGTCTTTTCTCTTCTCACCCCAGAAATCGACTGTAAGTGGCTGGCTTCCACTCTCTGTTGGAGAAGGGACTATGGAGGTTGTTACAGACAAAGGATGGTTGCTGTCCAGCTACAAAGCAGAAGTGAAAAACTGTGTCAAAGATCCAGTGACACATAATACGGTAACAGAGGACGATAGAGAGGAGGACAGGAGGACCAGCATGGACAGCGGCTTGGGCATGGAGTCCAATTCTGCTACAACCAGCAGAGGAAGTCCTCCAATGAGACAAGAGGACAGTGGCTGTGGGAGCTTAGGAGAACAAGAGAGCTCCACTAGCTGTCAGACAGATTACCCTCTGAAGGATGAGAGGACTGGTACTGACATGGCTCGGAAGAGGGAGTACAGTGGGTTGGGACTGTGCTGCCAGCTTGATTCTTCTTCCACAAATCTGGATGGACAGGACAGTGGATCTCTAGAGGTTGCTGGGGGTAATTATCGCAGCCATAGCCCCTCTGTGCAGATTCATGTCTGTGATGATGAGAAGCTGTTTAAACAGATGCTTCCTGACTCAGTTTTGGCTGAAGTGGTCACAGGTTACAGGGCTGGGCTTCAATCCTGTATTTGTTCAGGATCAGGACAGTGCACTTGGTGCCATAAACAAGGCCATTATGGAACTGAGATTATCAAACAATACAGAGCTATGTGTTTTGAAATTGGACTATTGAGCAGCAAATGTGATTTTGTGGACTCTTACAAAGGGGAGCTCACATTTTCAAGTTATTCTAAAAAAACACAAATGGACACTGTCGTGGTGGATGACTTAGAAACAACTTTTATACAACTGGGGGAGACTTTCCCTCTGCTAACAGCTCTATCGCCACTGCCCCTAGTGGACAGAGGACAGGACTTCAATATGAACAACCTGCCCCTCTCTCTCTGTGACGTACAGCTGAAGACTGACTGATGCGCTGCGGAATGCAACAATGCTATTTATAACATCATGCTGATATAACCTCCCTACCATAGTACTATATTGGATCATTTCCTTTGCCTCCATGACACAATCATTCAAATAAATAATTTGAGTCATGAAATAGAAGCATTAGTCAGTATTTGAGTGCAGAGGAATTGCTCTTACACGGGAAAAATGTAAGGAGAAACAGAACAAGCCCCGGCTATTATTGAACATATGAAGGAAACAGACGTTAGACCACACAGCTGCTGGCTGTTAACTGTTGGTTGGAGTCTCAGGAGCTTCTGGAGATGAAGAGCAGAAGACCTTATTCAACCCTATCACACTGGGTATATTTACAACAGACTTAACTGCTGTATGCCGGAAGTGAAACTGGTGTGGGGAGCAATGCAGAGAAACAGTTTGACAGTTACATGCTCTTTGACATTTTGCGACTTCTCCCTGCTCTCACCTACGCCAACATTGTCCGTAACCAACCCAAAAAGTTTCTGAAAAGGATTTATTTTTCTCACCACTATCTAAACAGTAAAATTCCTGTTCATCATTTTAAAGTAGTTCAATATCAAGTGGCGTCAAATAAAAGAGCAAACATGTTGCTTGCTATTTTCAATGATGTGCAGGACATTTTGTCTCAGACATGAAGCCAGTGACATTCATATGCCTTGTAGCCTAAATAGCCGGTCTGTCTTTCAGATACTTCCCTGCTTAAGTTATTTATTGGGTTTTCATTGTGTATTAATGTGATTGTGACTTGTCTGTCATTAAAAGAAACTGTCTCTGGAATGTTCACAAAAAAAAAACAACCAAATGACATTATGTTGATTTCAGAAACCATGACTCGAAGAAACCCAGAAACAACAGAGTGATACTCAATGGAAAGAACAAACATTACATATCACTTTGCTGTACATGGGATCCCCATATGCAAATTCTGTGTACAGGAACCAGAGCGGTGGTTTTGAAGCTGAACTAAGAAAAAAACACTTCCTCTTACAGGCTTCCACTCTGTTCAAAAAGTCCTGCTTCACTTTGAATAGAGCAAATATTGTCAACAGGGCTGACGTTTCAGATAACCAACAGTTATCTAGGTGAAATAATATCTTCATTGAAGCTGTTAGGAAATACCACTCTTGATAAAGCAGATCCCTGTCAGAGGTGAGGAGATCCTGTGACCTACTAAACATACATGACTACAGGGGAAGTGAGACAGCTTTTGGCTAGTGCTAAAGGTTGACAAAAAAAATCTGTCTTCGAACTGCAAAGTATCACGTTCCTGGTTTTGTAGTACGTGTTAACTAACGATCACCAAATGTATATCATAGTTCATCTTCTGTTCTTTACCACTCCATGTTTGGCTGCTGTTAGGAGGCTTTGTGGAAAACATTTTCTGTTGAGCTCCTACTGATCCTATCACTGTTTAGTGCTGCCAGTGTACTCCAATGCTAGAATAATACTTTTTGTACTACTTTGTGGTAATTTGTTTCAAAAACAAAGCTCCGAAAATTAGATTTTGAGGCAGGGACAATCTACAAGATGCAATCACAAAAATGAACTCATTAGTCGGGACCCACAATGATTGACATTTTAATTTAGAGGTTCAAATTCCCCAACAAATTTGTAATTAACTACCAAAACAGTTTGTATTGGAACCGGACAGGGAGCTATACAATTATTCAGTGATATTTACAATATCTTAATATATCTTTGTCTCTAGACAAATTTCTACGTGCTATTTTGAGACCATAAATTCCCAATGAAGCGTTACAATTCATGCATATCCAATGATCTTTGACTGCCAGTAGCTCTAAGAGTTAATGCAGTTTGTGTGTACAGTCACGTGATATTTGTGGGGGGGAGTGCAAATCAGCACAGCTGCAGAAAGTTAACCAAAAATGTGTTAATCACATTGCAGAAATGAAAATGGAAACAGCAATCTATTAGACATGGGTGAATAAAAAACAATAAGTGACTCCAATAATAAAAGAAGTCGATGATGATTTGAGGGGATTTGAGGGGATTCACAACAGGAAGTGTTTATGGTACCCAGGCATATGAGCTGCACTTCTCACCTTTGAGTGTCTGGCCCCGAATTCACCTTTTCATGACCAAGGCACAATGAGACAGACTCAACTTTTGAATTTGCTGTGGCATAAAAAGTGGCTCATCTGCCATTTGTGTTTCTGTGCATAGAAGGAAGCCTGAAGTCATCTAAAATAATTAAAATCATTTTCACAAACTTCTAACCCCTATTTTTATTTTGTGCACCGCTAAGTTCTTGTTTTTGACTGAGTGGAGAAGTTGACCTTTCTTACCCTTATTGTAGGCAGCTCATATCAGAAAAACATCAACTACAGAGAAACATGTTTTTGTTTCATTAAAGGAAAAACTATGAGACATAATTCCGCTAACCATTGAAAGTATCAAAAAGGTAGTAGATATATTGAGGGAAGATATGTGCAGTTTACAAGAAAAACGATCAACCTGTTGCTGTGGTTGAGCTGATATTTCACCTTCCCCTCAATAGTTCTTCTCATCTGCAGCAGAATCTATGCCTTTGTTTCTCTGTGGTGTGTGGGTGCGTGTGGATGTGAGTGCATACGTGTGTGTGCGTGCGACAAGCCACAGCATTTCAAACTGAGACAGTTGTCAAGACAAAAAGCAAAACTAATTCAATTAAATGGCAAGGATATATATATATATTTAAATGTATATTCCACATTATTTTTAATTCATTCTTTTGCAATGTCATTAAAATGACATAAGAGTACTACTTTGCATACACAGTAGCATGTAATGCCCCTCTTTCACTTTCAAAGTTGGTTTGTTTTCAGGACAAAGACTAAAAATCTTTGGCCACTGACAAAAGCATGACATCACACAAAGTCATGTAAAAATAACATTGTTATATCCCTCCTCAGTATTCAGGTAAAATACATCAGCATGAATTATAGCAGCAAAGTACAAACAGGAATGGATGACGTACTAAAAACAAGATAAGTGATGCGTAGGACTGTGACAGACAAGGGCTTCTGTCATGGTGGTTGTTGCCACAATCAACTGCCACAAAGTCAGCCGTCATTTTAAGACACTGCTGATGGAGAAGGGAGGAGGAGACTTATTTAAGCCAACTTTGCTGTAGATAGAGAGATCAACAATGAAACAATTACATATGAGTAAATAAAACTTGAATTTGAACGGCCTGTGAGGAAAAAATCAACTTACTTGAGCACCTTGTCTTTCAGAGATGGCTCTATATAGAAAAAAGAGATGTGAGACAAAGCATGACAGATTCATCATATTTCCATCTTAATTGTGGGTTTGTGGTGAACTGGCTCGCTGAAGCTTTGCTCACCCTTTTTCTTGCAGCATTTTTTGCATTTGTGCTTGCAGCAGAATTGTACACTGGCAATGGTGAGGAGGACCACCAAAATCCCAAAGCCAACAGCAATACCGACTGCTGTCGAGTTCACGCTGCTCCCTACCAATACAAATACAAAGAGGTAATTAGATTTTAGTCATAGATTTAACACAGATCATTTTACAGACATTTGATGAACAATAAACAAGCCAAGTGAGTGACAAAAAGGTTCTTTTTGAGTTTTATAGGGTTGTATTCCTGACATAAATGATTACCAACTGAAATAGTCATTTGTCTGGCTGTCTTGGCTTAATTGGATCAATATGTATCGGTTCATTGTGAGTGAATATTCACTCTAAAGAAATGAGATTGAGAAATCAATCTCAGGGAAAGATGCTGGCTCCGCCTTCATTACCCTTTGAAAACAAAGTGAAATGACGAGTGCAGAGGGACTTTTAGGGACACAACACAGCTGGCACAAGCTGTAAACAGCGGAGACTTCCATTACATTGCCCTTTCGTTTTCTATCCTAACTGCATAAGTATCAGCAGCAGCAGATGGAGAACTCTTTAATACTAAACTTTCAAAATTGTATTTGCTGGTTTACTGTTGCACCTTTCAAGCAAGATTATATGTACATGCACTAATGACAATAGGGCATGCATGTTAAAAAGACACTTTCAATATAAGTTCTAAGGTGCAGCTTACACATTGAGAAGAGCTAGTAGTTACAGGAAACAAGCAGAGCTCAAAGACATGTGATGTGTGATATATGCAACCCAACCAAACATTAAAAGACAATGACTCCAAAGCAGACCAGTACATTGTGTTGGAATTCAACTACAACAATGTTGTAAAAGTAAAATAGAAAAATAAAGCTGCATCACTAGGCAGATTAGTTTTTTTTAAAGTTGTTTATGGGTTTCACAGTTAGTGTAAACATAATTGAAATGAAGCATTGCAGCTAAAAGACTCTTACCACCATTCCCCATGACCAGCTAGGATGACCGATGTTATGTCTTGTATGTCTTCTTCTCTCCTCCCTGTCCGTTTCTTGTTGAACTCTCGCACTCACTTCCTTTACATCAGTCTTACTAAATGATTTGTCTTGACTGTGAAGATCCAAGGAAGAGTACTCTCTCTTCCTCCTTCTTTTGCCTACGTCTACCTGTCCATGTCCCCATACCAATCATTCTTTTAAACCGGTCCATCTTCTCTCTCTAGCCTGCCTCTCTTCTACCCTTTTGTTTATGAGCATATGTTAGAACAAAGGGGATTTGACGGCCTGTCGTTCTCACGTGGACATTCCTGCTTAGCAATGCTTGCTTTAAAAAATTCACATTGGAAAACTTTGATACTGTCCATTGTAACAACTTTTCACAAGCCTGAGATATCTATTTTGAAACCAAAGCTATAACATGATAAGCCTTTCTTTTGTCCCTTAGCTTCTCATTGCTCCAATACTAGCCTTCCCTTTTTCCCTCTCTAACAAATCATTAACAGACAGCCAGGTAATAGCACCTGAATTAGGTGGTGCTTAGGGACTCCTGCTGGATGACGGAGGTACTACACCTCTTTATCATCATTGTTGAAAATAATATAGTCCAAGAATTGTTTTGATCATGACAAAATACCTTTAAACTAATGACATTCCCATGTTAAAATTAGGATGTGGAGATTTTTCCTCTCTTTGTTCAAGAGCATGTTCTTTCATTTTGGGAGGATGACTTATGGATTTCATATTCAGATTTTATAATGATTTCCCTCAAATCCCTGTCCTTGCACTCAAATAGCCCCTGCTCGGATTTAACAGGCTTGACAATCCGCTCCCGGTCATAGGCTGACTTTCAACAGGCTAGCAGGACAACAACAAACATCCCACCCCACTCTCTCTGCCAACCCCAGGTACCCTCACTTGTGCCACCCATCCCCATCGGTAGAAGGATTGACAGGTTTAACAGGTTTAACAGCTTCACAGGTCATGAGACCCTCACTGACCTCCTGAACTCTGTAAATGCAATAACCATGACCTTTATCTTGAACAACTTCTTCCTGTAAGCACAATAACACTTATACCATAACAGCTTAATATCACATGTCCCTCAGTCCGTTACGCTATGAATAATGCTCCACATCCTAGAGTGTAATGAGATCACAAGCAGCTGGAATTATTTTTTTTCATGTTTTCACTGCAATGATGTTTTCGTAAAAGCCACATCAAAGCACGGGTAGGTATAACTGAAAAACATCCAGCTACGTGTTGCCAAGTCATTTCCAATGAAAGCAGCGAGCAGCACTAGCTAAAAAAGTCACAAAATCTAGCGAGAAATCTAACAGCACTCTCAGCATGTCCTTTAAGGCCTCCCTCTAAAGCCACGCCCCCAACATTATTGTTATGAACCTAAACATATTATAATTAACCTCAACAACGAACATGGCTATTGTTAGTACTCACAGCTGTCAACTTGGCAGCTTGTGGAAGACTCCGGCGACCCACAATGAGTGCAATGGCAGAGTGAGCGCAGGCAGGCAGGTAGGTGGGTTTAATGCAGTACTGGAACAGCCACAGATAGAAGATGTTTTATTTTTTTTGTCAGAGCATTTCATTTAATAAATGCTTGTGCCTGCTGTGCTTTGTAAGGGATAGGCTGTGGTTGAGGGTTGTACCTAACAGGGTTAGGTGAGAGCAAATATTTAACAAGAATGGCAGACTGACTTAGGAACTATCTGGCAAGGTGAATGTGGCAGAGCTGAGTCTTTGCAGAAGTCTTGGTTATGGGATTGGTTGCAGACACACACACACACACACACACACACACACACACACACACACACACA